GCAACAACGTACTGTGAGAGAGAACAAACCAAATCATAGCGGAGGAAGAAATCAGGAAGAAGTGCTGGAAGTGGATAGGACACACATTGAGGAAAGTACCCAACTGCGTCACAAGACAAGCCCTCACATGGAATCCTCAAGGCCAAAGGAGGAGAAGATGAAGACCAAAGAACACATTACGCCGAGAAATGGAAATAGACATGAAAAAGCTGAACAAGAATTGGATGGAATTAGAAAAGGAGGCCCAGGACAGAGTGGGTTGGAGAATGCTGGTCGGCGGCCTATGTTCCATTGGGAGTAACAGGCGTAAGTAAAAGTAAGTAAGTAAATAAGAAAGAAAGATTAGTTCAGTGAAGAGTTCTGTTTTCGAGCGAATTCATTTTCAAAGCTGTACAATCGCAAATATATAGACTTATTCTTTTACAGGGTGATAATAATACTGATAATAAAACTTCTGTTATACATGGTGACAGTGAGGTTAAATAAACAAAGGTATTAGAAAATTTTTTTTAAAACAAGGAAAGTTTAATAATCGTCTGATAGTTAATGGCTTAGATATTCATCGGGTAAGGATGGCTCAGTATGATAAAATAAAATGTTGAAACAGGGTTGAAATGTAATCAGAATGATCGTGTTAAATAAAAACAAACCGGTTGGGGGTAGAAGATTTGAAGGGAAGATGGAAGGTGAAACAGGTGGTTGTAAGGGAACAATCATATGAAGAAAGAGAAAAATTTTTTAATACATTAAGACCAGTCTCTTTTGTACACATAATTCTGGGTTTTCAAAATGTATGGCTATTGCCTCGGCAATGCAATGAAGATGCAGTCTAATTGCCTTAGGAAGGCTTCTACTTACCTTGTAGATGACTTTGAACGCAGAGTCTGTCTTGATTGAGTGACCTGTGTTTACAAGGTGTTCGATTATAGAACTTCTTATTGATCCGTAACCTCCTCTTCTTAGCCACGCCGGACAATGTTCTAGAATTCTTTTGGATAAAGTACGCATCGAACGACCTATATACCTGGCTCCACAAGAGCAGGTAAATTGGTAAATGCACATTGAGTTGGTCAGATGCGATAATTTATCTTTCAGATTATTGGTGAACAGTGATCGGCTGGAGAATAATATTCGTAATGTTGCTGCGAAGAATGTTCTTTTACAACCACCTGCTTCACCTTCCATCTTCCCTTCAAATCTTCTACCCCCAACCGGTTTGTTTTTATTTCCACGATCATTCCGATTACATTTCATCTCTGTTTCAACATTTTATGTTATTTTATCATGCTGAGCCATCCTTACTCGAGGAATACTTAAGCCATTAACTATCAAACTTTCCTTGTTTTTTAAAATAAAATTTTTTTTCTAATACCTTTGTTCATTTAACCTCACTGTCACCATGTATAACAAGTTTATTATCAGTATTATTATCATCCTGCGATTGTACAGCTTTGAAAATGAATTCGCCGAAAAGAGAACTCTTCGCTGAACTAGTCTTTCTTTCTTATTTAATGTCATAATGGGTGTATTCCGTTTATTAAAAAATATAAAACTATTGAATAAACAAATGTTTCATTACAATTGATATGGTTCATTTTCATCTAAATGAGCATAAATGAATTGTCAAATGTCAAGATGTACTTTTATTTAATGATTTATACATGTAGACAATTTCGGATACAGATTCGGCTGAGGAAAGTGGAAACAGTGAATGGCTTTAGAATAATATTCATAATGTTGCTACGAAGAATGTTCTTTCTAAGGAATCTGAAATTCTCCTCTTTAAGATATATGTGGCTCTATAATCTTTGGAGTAGATGTTCATGTATAAAGTTTTTTTTTCTACTGTGATTATTTGTGTTTTTGGCGTTTTCGGCTTCATGTTCTTATCAATGAATATCGAAGGATATCCGTTTTTGATAAGTATCGCCTCTAAAAGGCTCAATACTTCGTCTTCGATTTCGAGGCTACAGATTCTTCGTATTCTTGTAGAGATTGTTATTATTAGGTTTCTTTTTCCGCTAATGGGAACCCAGCTGTGGAAATTCGATAGTTGGCCATTCCACATGGGTTTCCTGTAGATTGATCTTTTTAAGGTACCGTCTTGCTTTCTTGTCATTTCCACATCTCTGTTTCAACATTTTATTTTATCATGCTGAGCAATCCTTTCCCAATGATAATTTCCCTATTCATCCTTTGATAAATACTTAAGCCATTAACAATCAAATGGTTATTAAACTTTCCTTGCTTTAAAAATTTTTTCAATACCTTTGTTTATTTAACCTCACTATCACCATGTATAACAGAAGTTTATTATCAGTATTATTATCATCCTGTAAAAAGAAGTATATGTATATTTGCGATTGTACAGCTTTGAAAATGAATTCGCCGAAAAGAGAACTCTTCGCTGAACTAATCTTTTTTATTTAATGTCTTAATGGGTGTATTCCGTTTATAAAAAAAATCTGAGAACCGTGTAGTAAATACTTCATTTGCAAAATATTGATTAATTGTTTCAAACTTTGCTGTTCCTTCATTTCCACAACAAAAACTCTCTGTTCTCATTCTCTTCTCTTTGATTTTCTCAATATTCTGCTGCCAGGCATTCCATTTTCGACTGGTGATACATACTACTCATATCTGTTGATGTCAGTAGCATACACCACAACTAGTGATTAGCCTCAAGAGAAAATTCTTGAAGATTTAGTGTGAAGCAGTGACCAATGGAGTTCAACCGTGTTGGGTATGAGGCAGTTGACCACCGAAAAAAAGGAAGATGATCGCGTAAAATCGTGGATTGGTCAAAGTTATACATTAACACAATCGGATGCCGGCTAACTGGTCTAGAGGTTAGACATTTGTGTGAAACCGAAGGTTTTGAATTCGGATCCCGCTTTAGGGTTGTGAATGGGCATTGCTGAAGAGTACCATACTAGAACGAAACGGCCACCCAGTGCTTACAGTTTTTCGATGATGGTCTAACGTTGAACGATTCATGATTCCAAGAAGAAAAAAAGAATACCATGACAACGAACAAATAAGCATGAATAACAACCAATCAAATTGAGTGTCAATAAAATAATTTTCGAGTGAAGGTATCCTAACAACTTGTCACTAATTGGTGTTTGGGTTGGTTTTGTTTTAAAAAAACAATGAAAACTTTACGGTTAAACCAATCAGATCATAGAAAACATTACCCCGAGATAAATGTCTAGAAATTTGAATTCTGATCAATAAGTGAGAATTCTATCTTATTGCTTTATCAAAATTTGCAAAATGGAGAATTATTTCTCAAAAAGTCTTTTATTTCCAATTACTAACTACTGATGATCGTTGTGCTATTGTGAATAATCCTAAAATTACTTAGTAGTATATTTTACTGCTGATCAAATTAATGTTATAACCGCTAGCTAGTGTTCATTAATATGCTTAAAAGCTGAAGGATTGCACTTATGAATAAATCACAATCAAAGGATGATAGATCATTGATTTAAGTGTTCTTTACAAGTGACTTATTTCTTATATGAACTGCAGTAATACTATGATAAAGGGGTTCGTGATTTCCCATTATTGATAATTAGAACTGTAATCAATATATCCATTGAACAAGTTAGGGGCTGTTAGGATTCAATAGATCAGAAGACAATTCATTGGGCGTTAAAAGTAAAATGTACGGGGTTATGATTATGTTGGGATATTCAGGAAAATATCCCAAAAATTATTCTATTAAGTCTAATGCTATTCTTGGACTTGGAGATGGTATTATTTACTTATTGGTCAGTACTTATTTCACGTGTCATTTTCCTACATGGGTAATATTGTACAATGTTATTTTCTATTTTATCGTACGACGTGGTCTGCTTGATTAGTATATAAACAGAGTGTGTTTGAAATATAATGATTCATATATCCGAGGCTGAGACTTGTGTTCTGGACTCAACTAGCTGGGCTAGACAGGGAAGCGGGACCAATCAGAACCCTAGACCGTTCTTACGTGTTTGGGCGTCTTTGGTCCGATTGATAATTCGCTCTACCCTCTAATCTGCTGCCGTCACAGTTATAGCAGATTACAATTTGGACATCATCATAAATTCCTAAATAGGATGAAATGAGCATCCTAGATTCCATTGCAAGTTACAAATGAAATATACTAAATTATCAATCAATAAACCATAATCAGTTATTGTATGTTGATTTATAAACTGTAAGAAAAAAGAAAAGTGTAACTCATGTTTTCATTCTTAAGGTCAAACAATCTTTTGAAAAAAATAAATGAACAAACTATCATACACTTATGCTAAACAATTAAGGAAATGTTTGAGTTTAACTAAATATATTCAGTGCTTCCAGGTTTTCCATGGTGATCTAGCTTCAATTGACTCATGATTTCAACTACTGAAATTTCTAAAATCTTCACAAAACCCCCTTTCTGATAATAATCATCTGCTCACTAGTGACTGACTTCAAGATGAATTTCCTGGAGTTCTAGTGAGAAGCCATGACCAGTGGAGTTCAACAAGGTATGTTGTGAGATATCAGCTCACTGAAGACAATGGTGTACGGTGGCGCAATTTAGTGGGTTGGTCGAAGTTCGACATTAACATCGTTGGATGCCGACTCAGTGATCTAATGGTTGAGCTCTCACGCGCGAGACTGACAGGTGGTGGGTTCGAATCTCGCGGAGTGTGGGGTCGTGGATGCACACTGCTGAGGAGTTTCATGCTAAGACGACACGGCTGTCCAGTACTTCCAGGTTTTCCATGATGATCTAGCTTTAATTGATTCACGATTTCAACTATTGAAATTTCTAAAATCTCCACAAAACCCCTTCTGATATATATTAAATGATTAAACACCATTTTCATAATTCTATTAAAATAGCTTTAATTCTAGTCAACATATCCACATTTCTAAGGTATAGTATAATGAACATATTAGATAAATTAATAACTAAAGTTATTATATGTACAGTATTTTATCAAATTATTATTTAAACATACCTTGTTAAGTGAATCATCTTGTTTTGTTACATATTGACTAAGTAAACGTTTACTATGAGAAATCTCATCTGATGCTTCTTTTAATCTAGTTTTATAAGTATCTAACTGATCTTTCATTTTTATTAGATGATCTTCAGTATTACGTAATCTAAAATTTAAAGTCAACAATAATTAAATCAAATCTATCATGTTCAGATATCTGTAATTTTGAACAGTCAGATCGGTTGGTAAATTTAAACAATTGAATTCATGGATTTATCTAAGCTAAACCTCAATGGAAAACTCGGGAGCGCTGGATGGCTATTTCGTTCTAGTATGGAACTCCTTAACGATTCGCACCCACGACCGTGAACATAAGACTTGGACCCAGGATCTTCGATCCTTCACGCGAACACTTAACCTATAGACCACAGAGCCGTCCCGCATGTCTAACTTTAATCAATCCATGATCTTGCGCAACTATTCATCAATTGTCTGAGGTAAATACCTGTCTCTACCCGACATAGTTGTTTAGGCTCCACTGTGCTCTCGAGACCGAATGTCCTGAGTTCGAGTCGATCATGTGTGGTCGTAAATGCGCACTGATAAGGGGTCCCATACTAGAACGAAACTGACGTCTAGTGCCTTACAGGTTTTCAATAGTGGTCTAGCTTAGATCGACTCATGAATCCAACTGTTAAATGATTAATATTTTCTAATATAATAGATATCGATCAGAAATAATTTGTTGTCAAGTAAATCAATTTTCTGTATACTTTTACCCAGTTGAAACGTTTAACCAGGTTTTAAATATTAAAAAAATATATATATACATATATATACAGTTTAAAGAGAATCACCTTTCCAACTCTGCATAATGTAGTAACCTTTGTTCTTTACGTTGACTAGGATCTATGAGATGAGACTTTTTCAGTATTGATGACCATTCAGTTGATGTTACTGGTGTTCAAGTTGAAAAACAAAAGTCAATTATTGAATTGAATTTCCATGAAAATCATTAATGGATAAATAGATAGTAAATATATTGAATTGTTATAATCTTCCATTTCTAGTATGTTTTAATCATTGAACTTCACTGAACTTGATACAAATAAGAACGGTTATAATTTGAGAACAAAATCTATTTTAATGAACGAGAACAGTAATCTGCAGTAATCATTTATGTTTTTTAATTCTTTTGGGTAACTAAAGAGGTTGAAAAGTTTATCTTACGAATTTTGTACAAGGTAAGTTCTATCATTTATAAAATTCAATTCTTGCCTATTTCGTCCCTGTAACTAATGAAGATTTTGAAAGTAAGCTTCATCAATATGAATACTAATTGTATAGTTGCTAAATCAGAAAAGTTGGAATCAACTTATTCATTTATTTATTTAAACACATAAAAACTGGTACAAGGAGGCACCAAACAGATATGCACCATATATATCATTCGATTTATGTGACGACTGGGATACTGCTCGGGTGACTAAACTGAGACAGGTGGTTTTCTTAGTGGGTCACATTCCGAGGCCTTGACCTAAAGGTCTAATCCATAAGGCAGTGGAGCAACATAAGGAGATTTAGTTCCGTGGCAGCCGGTGATCAATAATCAGTTCATACGCCGTTTGTTTCCTTAGGATCCCGGAGCCCATGTACACCATTGGTTTGGAATTAAGGTTTTTTGACTGCCGTAGATGGATACTCCATATTCACCAACTCGTTTAAAGCGCCAGACATTCGCTTATCGTCCTTTCAATTTCGTAAACAACACCCCCGCCACAAGAAGACAGTTAGTAGGACTTTCCTGTCAGTGGTTGTATGCACGTGATCACTTGAAAGCATTTCAAACGAGAGAGCTGACTCTTCCCACTCTCAACAGTACCAGGGTATTTGGAGGCATCAACTAACTGTAATACTATCCTAAAGAACTTATTTCATCATCGTAAGAATATTTTAAAGCCTCTATTTAACATTACAAAATCTAATATACACATCGTATGAACTAATTCATTACAAGATCTTTTAGAAATCACTTTTAAACTTTTTTTTATTTATTAAACTTCATCAATATAACATGTTGAATCAATTCAGCTATTGTATCACTTACAAAGTTCATCATTTGATAAGAGACAATTATTAGTGTTGTATTGTTGTGTACCGCTTAATAGACAGAAAATATCCATGAAGAAATATTTCTTTATCTGTGACATTGTAAAAGTAAAGAGATATAATATTTTAAATACTGTTGTTGTGTAGGTTACTTATATTGATATAAGTAGTATATAACGTTGATCAGGAATAGAATTCATTTCATTAGATTAATAAGGAAGGAACGGAAACGGAACGCAGTTGGTATGAAAATGCATGAACAATGAAATCTGAGACAATGGATTGATATTTTCCAAATTAATGATTTACCATATGGTTCACAGATTTCAGTGATATGCTCTGTAATTACATGTTCAAATATATTTGGGTGTCCTCACTCGTCTTCTCGTGTTCAATTCCGTTGAGATACATTATTTATTATAAAAAAATGACTACTATTCTATTGATGTAAATTCAAATAATATGGTTGGAAACGTTACCTCCTTTATGGAACTAATATACCGGTCTTTTGTAATTTGAAGCTTAGCATAACTATTTTATTCATTTCCTATAAAGTTTTTTCATGTCGTTATAATTACAACAATGGCTTGAAAGGTAAGAAAACAGTATTAAGATTTCTGTGCATAGTTCTTTCTGGTTATTAGTTTTGAACTCTCCTGCTGTTCATATTTTACAATAGATTGATCACTGGATGATGATCAATATCATGTTTGTAAGGTCTTTCTTAGTGTAGATCGAATCCTATTGACCAAGTTGTTATATCGTCACTCGTCTAAGTGACTCACTATTGCGTGCACTATGTTGAGATAAGATGATGGTTGGGAGTAATTTTACTCTAATTAAATAAATCATTCAATTTAGGATTTCATTATGATTTATTACATTAGCTTTAAAGTAACAAAAATACTGTTAGAATCAACAGATTATTTATAAATAAATCGACTTACTTTGTGAAAGATCTCTCTGTCTGGTATCTATGGTTATAAATGACACTTTCAATGATTAGACAATAAATGTTACTTCTGTGAGAATAAAACACTGAAAGAGTTTTAGTGTCAGTCAGTCAATCTGTCAGTAACAACATAGAACTTCGTACGTACATATATCAGTTCAAGTTGCCATACCACATTAGCACAGAGATGCAGTTGCCCATTCAAATCCTGTAGTGGTAGAGGTAGTAAGAGTATAAGCAGTAATCGGAAAGATTAGTGTTTGGAGATGTTATTTAAAGAATATAATCCAGTGAAATAAATTTAGGAAGAGAAAAAAGAAACAAGGAGGAGTCAGGAGATAAGAATTTGGAAGAACACAAAGAGTGGATGCACTTACATCATTGCAAACGATTTTGAGTCATGTCATTCAGGGTCTCTAACTATCGGTTGCTATCATCTCGCGGACCATAACCAGGTAGTCTACACTTACCAACATGACTCAGTCCACTTGTTAGTGACTTCATGAACTTGTGCCGTGTTTTAATCTGGCTACCCCTACTTTTCTTCCAACCTACTCCTATACGATTGAACATCGTACGTCAAGGCAGGTTGATATAGAGGTTCATAAATGTCTTTATTACAATAATTATAGTATATATTCATCAATAATCATAAACATATTTATCATGTGTACATTATTTACCAAAAATTGAAAATCATCTTTTTCTAATTTTGGACCAATTATAAGAAATTGTTCATTTAATGAAATTATTTCTTTTCTATTTATCTCTTTTTGTTCATCAATTGTATTTCTATATTCATATTGACTTATATCACATAGAGAATAATTTGATATTCTAATCCAACATAGAAAAATGAAAATAGCTATGAAACAACTTAAAATATATAATAAATTAGATTCAATTGGTTCAGCTCCAGCAATACATAATATTAACTGATCCCATATATATAATAATGTAGATTGAGATAAATAACCTAAAGAATAGTTTGAAAAAAGATATTTACTTGTAAGTATATTAAATTAAACAAGATTATAAGAAACATAAATATATATTAAATTCATTTGTTATAGTTTACTTGGATCCAGAATCATCAAAGCATCATTCAAAACAAAGTAGGAGGTGTTATGACCTTGGATGTCTGGGTTTGCTATCACGCGACCTATCGACTTGTACGAATCTTCGCACTAGGCCAACCAATGACGTTCAACCGGTTTGGGCAGTCTAGCGTCTTTATTGGTCCTATGTCTTCCGAGCCCTTCCACTTGAGTCCAGAACACAATATCAGCTTCGAATCAGAGCAGATCGTTTATTTCAAACATACTCGGTTTATATATCAAACAGACAGACCACAACACACCATAAATTAGGAAATAACATGTGTACACAAATAAGCCAAAAAGTGGCTGTGAACGAGGGAGATAATAATTAATAGACTGAACATAGATTAAGAACCGTAAATCGTATAATAATAAATTATAGGTCAAAATAAAGCTTATAATAAGAGGAATATAAATATACGTAATGCAATTGTTGAATAATTATACAATAAGAATATTTATAGAATATTAGTCTATTAACAGTCTTCGGAAGTTACCTATAACTTAATCTTCACTGGGTTATAACAGGAGGGGATCACAATGAATATTATCCAATGTTATGCACCCACCAATGATAGCAACGATGACACTAAAGATCAATTCTACGAGCGGTTGCAATCAATCATAGAGAAGTGCCCAAGAAAAGACCTCACCATTCTGATAGGAGATCTAAACTCCAAAGTCGGAATAGACAACACCGGATATGAAGATATCATGGGACGACATGGACTGGGAGAGAGAAACGAAAATGGGGAGAGATTTGCAAATCTGTGCGTATTCAAAAAATTAGTCATAGGCGGCACAATATTTCCACAAAAACGTATACACAAAGCTACATGGATCTCACCGGATCACACCACAGAGAACCAGATAGATCATATTTACATCAATAAAAAATTCTGGAGGACAATGGAAGATATGAGTACCAGGAGAGGAGCTGACATAGCTTCAGATCACCATCTAGTTATGGCCAATTTAAAACTCAAGCTGAAGAAGGACTGGACAAACAGCAATACAAAGGTTCAATACAGCCTTCCTTCGAGATACTGACAAACTCAATGAATTCAAGATATCTCTCAACAACGGGTTCCAAGCCTTACAGGATCTACTGAAGGAGGAAGAAACTACTATGGAGGACAACTGGAAAGGTATCAAAAAGGCATTAACTTCAACGTGTCAAGAGGTTGATGTTTAGGACTGTAATTGATGAATCTCTTATTGATATATGTACATTGGCAAGGTACATTCAGCTGATGAGTTCCAAATAGGAAAAAAACTGCGCGTCCTGGATTCCATTGCTAGCCACTATCTATCTTTGCTTATAAATATATATTGTCTGAATATTACGCATATTTAGTCACAAATTATTTTCATTATAGAGTTTTATGGAGTTTCCATATTTTTTAAATCACGACTAAAACTGAAAACCGAAAGTACTAGATGACCGTTTCATACTAATATGAAACTTTTAAGAAATATCCATACACGATCTTTCTACTCTTAATTTCTGAACTACTTAAATGGTATTCAATGGTATACATGTTTAAATTTAATTCATTCAAGATATTACTCGACTATCTTCTATTGCTTGAGGTGGATGACTAACTCACATTTGGTATAGTTGAACTTCACTGATCACGGTTTCTCATCAGCAGTTCAGGAATTATATCTTGTAGCTTGTCACTAGTGAGCATATGATTATCATCAATATAGGGTTTTGTGGAGATTATATAACTTTTTATCAAGTTTTCAATGGTGTTTTAACGAAGATCAGTTAGTGATTTAACAAAGATAAATTATTTCTTATGATATAGCTATCCAAACTTAAAATGCAGCTGCTAGATTTTCTGAACCTCATGTATGTTCAAATAGACAGCATTCCCATTGAAAGATCGTTTCCTTCATCCTAAGTATTTAATTGTGTTTATTACAAGAAACTGAGTAGAACAGTAGGTCAGTAGTTAGGAAGTTTGATTTATAGTCACTAAATGGCATGTTTTAACCCCGACCGACTTATTTTGGTCTGGTCAACCGGGTAACACCATCAGTGTTCATGCCTAGGGTATGGTTCGAAACTAATTACACGAATCTGTACAAATCAAGTAAGTTAATAATTAGTTTACAGGTAGTTGATAAAAAAACACCTAACCATATGTAATCCGATTTGATTTTATTCACTAGTCAGTGCAATGTTTTTGACAGACTCTATAACTATACTCAATAAAGGTTGCATATCTTTGACTGTTTAAAATTTATTCATCGAAACACTATTCAGTAATCACTTCTAATATCTGTGAAAATTCTTACGTAAATTCATCTAATCTTATAACTTCAACAAGGTATAATATATAATGAATTTAGAAAATGTTACGTCTAATATGTAGATGATTGGTATTAGAAAAGTACCAGTCCGATGAGACTTTGATTTGTGGACGGCGTTTGAGTGACGCCTAAGTGACCTTGAGGAAACCAATCTACTTACTAGGGTTAAGTGAGGGTTATAAACCAATTTGAGGAATTAAGTTTGTGATTTACAGTTGATGATTAGGGTTATGAATTACATTTATGGTTTTCATCATGAACAGACATCAGCTATAATACCAGAACACTATTTAGCCAAATGAATCCAAAATTTGTTATCCTGAATCTGATTGGTTCGTTCATAAATTATAGTCTCACCGTTTATAGATTTTATGTAATATCATGCAGACGATTCAATGTTTACATGACCATAGCAAATCTGTGAGGATTTCATGAAACGTTTCACAACTATCAACACTTGAACGTATATAAACCCAAAGTCGCAAATCAAAAGACAGAAGAAGCAGGGGTATTTATAGTTTTTATTATTGTCTATAATATTATTATAATCCGGTTATTCCGCAAGTAGGAAGGTTATACAATTATCCAATAACAGCATAGCATGTTGATACTTTAGAGGGTTCTATCAGGTTCCTTTAGAGCCTCTGGAAGTTTCTTTGTGCTTTTTGAAACCGTCCTAACAGCAATAAACTTAATAAACTATAACCAATACAGCCTTACAAACAGCTGAGGCACACGTTGCCCAACTCTCTACATATTATAATAATTTCTTTTCTTCTAGATACGTTTTAACCAATTAATTATTTATGTTCACTGCTTAATTCATTTATATGCAATAATGAGAAGCTTACAATCTACTGAGAAACGACTATAGTGTATTTGATGAACCAAATACATTATGTAAAGAACAAATATCATTGAAAATAAAGTTATCGTAGATTTTTGCTGATGTGGATTAATAACAACTTACAACTATTAAGAAGTTATTCAAAGGTGACTATAAGATATCACTCTAAACGTTCCAGTGATAAACAGTAACTAATGGAGTTCAACCACATCCGGTGTGTGACAGTTATCTACTATAAAGAATGAAATATGATGACCTAATATAGTGAATATGTGTACTACTAAATGCTGATTCAATGATCTAAAAGATAAGCGTTCACCACTAAAGAGAATTATCTTGATTCTATTCCTAATATAGTGGTGGATACACACTTCTGAAGAGCTCTATAAACGTGCGGAACCGCTGTCCAGTGCTCCTTAGCTCTCAATGATGTGTTTTTTAAATTTTCTATATTTTCTGTTGTGAATTCTTTGTTGAAACTAAAAAAATGGTGATAAATTAGGTTCATTTTCCAACTTAATGATTAAAACATTTTACTCACCAATGAAAACAGATTGAATTATTGGTTCGATAAATGTATAGAAGATTTCTGAATAAATATCTTCTTCATTTGTCAAATTTGATATGATATCAATATCTGAAATAGATCAACATTTGTCTCCTTTAATATTCCATTAAATGATCAGAATATATTGAAAGACTTATCTAAAAATTTCATTACATCATTTTGTAACCTTCTTAATGTACACCTACACTATAATGTCAAAGAAGCTACCATAATATTCTCCTATCCATATTGTCAAACGCCTTCTCATAGTCAAGAAAGTTGATGTATAGTGACAAGTTCTATTCAATTGGTTGTTCAACGATGATCAGTGGTGTCACGACTTGGTTTGTGCACGACCGATTCATACGGAATCCGGACTGTTAGTCTCAAAGCTGGACCTCCACCGAATATTTCATCCGGTTTAACAACACTTCGTTGAAAACTTTTCCTGATACTGATATTAGTGTGATGTCTCTGTAATTCTCACACTTACTCAGATCTCCTTTCTTTGGTATCTTGTTGGGGTATGCCTCCTTCCAGTCTGTTGGTACTTGCTCTTCCTCCCATATCTTCCTGAATAGAACGTGGAGCATGTTTACAGTTACTTCCATTTCTGATTTCAGTGCTTCGGCTGCCATATTGTCTGGTCCTGCAGCCTCCCCACTCTTGATTTTTCCGATAACCATGTTGATTTGTTTGATCGTTGGTCAAATGAAATGTATAGGAAGCTCTGTACATGCTGCATCGATTTCCAGTGGGTTCAGGGAGGCTGGTCTATTCAAGCGCTCCTCAAATTGTTCTACCTACCTGTTCCTATGTTCCGTGACTGGCTGGCCCTCCTTGTCTTTGACTGGTCTCACCGATTTACTATATTTGCCTGCTAGTTTATTAGTTTTATCATATCGTTGTCTCATATTTCCTTCTCTTTCACCTTTCTGCTGTCATTACTTGGTCTTCAACATAGTTCTGTTTGTCGGCCTTAATGCTCCTCATCACTTGCTTGTTTGCTTCTACGCAGTCTGTTTGTGCCTTGAATTCCTTCGTTCTTGTTCGACTGTTGTTAAGTGCTGTCTTTTTGTACCTCTTTTCTTAAATCCTTCCAAGGATATCGATAGAGACCCATTTCATTATGATGCTTATTGCGGCCCAGCACCTCTTAACGTGTTAAAGTTAGTGCTTCTTTATCTCTTTCCAGATATTTTCCATAATGGTTTTCTATTCTGTGAGTAAATCTTGGGACCTGTTGTTATGAGCTGTCTTAAATTCGTTGAGTTTGTAAGTATCTCAAGGGGAGGCTGGGTTAAACTTTTGTAATTTTGTTTGTCCAGTTGCCCAGGTGGTGCTCTGACTCTATGTCCGCTCCTCTCATGGCTCTAACGTCTTCCACTGACCTTGTGAATTTTTTACTGATGCAAATATGGTCGATCTGGTTCTGTGTAGTGTGATCCGGTGAGATTCATGAAGCTTTGTGTATGCGTTTGTAGAGCAATATTGTACCGCCCATAACCATTTAGCCTCATACACATAAATTTGCAAATCTGTTACCATTCTCGTCCCTTTCTCCTGGTCAGTCCTTGTTGTCCCAAGATATCTTCATATCCAGTGTTGTCCGTTTCGACTTTGGCGTTTAGGTTTCTTATCAGGATATTCAGGTCCTTTCCTGAACATTTATCTATAATCGATTGCAGCCTCTTGTAAAACTGACCTTTATTATCGTTATTGCTATCATTGGTGGGTGCATAACATTCATTGTGATTCCTTTATTTTTTTTATTTGAAGGTTGATTTGATGATCCTTGGTCCATTAGATCCCCATCCTATATGTGCTTTACATGCTTTGTTGGACGGCATCAAAACAAATTCCTGAGTGTGGGGAGCATTTTCTTCTTCGTCATTAGAGTAGGGCAGCATCTCTCCTGGGTCTATATTTTCCTGTCCAGCTTGGGTCCAATGAGTTACACTGATTCCGAGCAGCTATAAGTTGATCCTTCGGTTTTTCAACTATTTCACTGTTTCTCCCAATCTCCCACATTATCCAGACATTCCATAAGCCAGTATTAATTGTCAGACGGGAGAACCGGTCTCGTAATTTTTGAAGAATCTCGACTTTTATTATGAGACGTCATAGTTTTTTCTAAATGAAGATGCTTAAACTCACGGGGTATAATTAAAATGCTTCAGATAGTTTTTACTGGTTGCTTTCTACGAGATGAGAATGCTGACCTCATGCTCAACCCTCTTCTAACCGAGCTTAGAACCAGTAACAACCTTAAGAGAGCTACAGACGGGGTTTTTCTATACTGATATACTTTGGAATTATAGATGAACAGACGAAGCGATAGGAAGACAAAGACATAGCCGAGTACAATAAATATGTACTAACTGTTATAATGACGATTAACAAAATGATTGAAGTGATAATAGTTACTGAAAAAAGTATTTATAATAGTGGTGGGAACAATTATAATCATATTCATACGAAAGTTTTGTGAATATTGTTAAGCGTTGATAGTTCACGTCATTGACTGATCTTAAAATATTGCTGAAAACCAGTAAACATTGGATAGGTTGTTCCCTGTAATGTCATGGATGCACATTGCTTAGTAGTCCTATACTAGAATAAAGCGGCTGTCTAGAGATTCTTAGTTTTTAGTGTTACTATAAATAAGATCAGTTCTTGATATAAACTATGAAAAAACTTCAATACTTAAATGGCTGAATGGAATTGGAATTGAATATTTTACCGAGTTATATCGAAATAATAAGACTAATTATGATAACTAGATGTTAGAAATGAAAACTCATCCAAAGTAAACAGTGAAGATTCTTATAAAGATTGAATGAAATTTAACAAAGAATACTTCTACAAATTATGGGTCAGTCAATCGAAACGAAATTTCCAAAATGAGCGGAACAAAAAGAGGAAGCAATAGAAAAGTTAGCATCCAATTGATTATCATGGCCAGTATCAGGGTGGACCATAAATTCTTTTTGTATACATAATTTGAAGTTGAAACAAGAAAATCTATATATAAGCTACTTCTGCAAGACTTATAAACCCTGTTGTTATTTACTAGTGCTGATGATACTTTACTGTGACAAAATGTCTACAAAGAACTGCGTCTACAAATTAGGTTTGTGTCGATTGTGATACCGTCCATATTGAAGAGTCATCTCGAGAAATTCTGACTCGTGCCAAAGAACATATTTGGTATACAAAGAAACTACTTAATAATCCCGTAGAATTAGATAGATTTCAAATTAAATCAGCAATAGCAGTTCACGCCATTTTTAGCGACCACTCAATCGACGTCAAATATAACAAAATAATACAAAAAGGCTTTTCCAATTACAAAGAAAGGAAAGTAGCTGAAGGATTCCATATAATACTTAATCCTACTGCTCTCAATAGAAAAGAAGGCCTTACCATATATCCTACTTGGACTATCTCTCCTAGCCACCTAGTCTAATATTATTCACAATTTACATTATCATTTTACCAATTAAACTCTATTCTTAATATTGCACACTTAGATATGCACAAATTTACATACATGTCGCTTATGAATCACATTAACTGAAATGACATGACATTGATTTATTCAGACCTGTTTTTTGATTGATCATATGATATTCTTGTTGTTTCGTTGTACTATATAAACTTGGATTAATTTTAAATTCATTTGGTATTGCTTTACTTGTATCTTCCCATTGTTACTTAGGTCTGCAGTTGATCAGTCTCATGTTGGTGTGTGTGCATATTGTGCGAATTGCCTCGATATAGCCTTAAGTTCCGAGGTGAACATCAACTCTGGGATGCAGGTACATCCAGTTGACGAGTCTAAAAATGGGACGAAACGCACATCCTGGATTCCACTGCTACCCTCTATCCATTTTAGCTTAGATTAATTTTGATTTGATGTGTTTATTCTCTGAAGAAGTGGCTTACACTAAGTCATGAAACGTCAGAAAATCTCATTTTTCTACTCATTGGGATATTACAAATACATTAATTTATTTATAACAAACTACCCTTCAATCGCTTTTACCCCGTTGATACTTGTTATGACTCGACCTTGATCCGTCTAGTCTAAATTACGACCTTGACGCGATAGGGTGAGCGGCTTAACCTTGAGTCTATCACGCGTGAGTTCGAGATGGGGTAGAGAGAACTATCCTAGAACCTGATTGGTTGGCAAGCCCTCAGGTGAGAGAAGACAAGACAGTTGGAACACATAGCTCTGGATTCTCCGAATTCGGATTAGTACAAAAATGTACATGAATAAATAAGTGAATATCTTGACTACGACGTCCGATAATTTGGAAAAATACAGTTATGCCGGAAACAGGGAATTAGAGTAGAAAATACAGTGCAAAATATTATGTTTAAATAACAATATTTTCGGAACAAAAAAGAGTATGCTAGTGAATGATACATAGAACGAAAGCTCGTGTTATGTAGAATAAGATAGGGACAAAACTAAATATAAGTGTTTTACAGGGTTTGAATGAAATGCAATAACGTTCCAAGAAAATGGCTTTCGTAGTTGTCTGGGCTTCTTAATTCCCTGTTCACAACATACCCAATGCTCAATTTATTCGAACTTATCAAATCAAACCTTGGTAATGGTATCTATTATTATTATTATTATTATTATTATTATTACCTACCTACCTTTGACAAACAAAACTTGCTTCACAACAGAAGAAGCTATATTATCATCAATATATCGTAAGTGTTTTAAAACACTTTGACTAAATTTAATATATTTATTATCATTCATTTCAGATATACCATTTATTTTATAATTTTCATTATATATTACTTTTTGTAAAGATTGATGAGTAAACCAAATTGTTGGCAATTGTGTTATAAATGATGGTAATATTGATAATAATACAAAAAATTCTTGAATTAGTACACCAATAGTTTCCACATTTGGAGGTTGATTTCTTGAAAATAAAATTAATTAATCATTTAGAATGAATAAAATTCAAACTTGAACAATATTGATTTAATTAAAGTTGATTGATGAAAACATTATGGAAATTAATCTTTATTTAAAGAAAAATTTAACCGATATTACTCAATGATACATTGTAAATATTATAAGTAAGATATTTAGAGTTTAAGTGGGATATTTCAAAATTGAATTCCTGTTCACTGAAGACAATGGTGTATGGTGGCGCAACTTCTTGGATTGGTTGAAGTTAGACATTAACATTGTTGGATGCCAGCCGACTCAGTAGTCTAATTGGTTAAGCCTTTGGCGCGAGACTGATTAGGTTCTGGGTTCGAATCTCGCGTGGTGCGTGATCGTGGGTGCGTACTGCTGAGGAGTCCCGAGCTAAGACGGAACAGCCGTCCAGTGCTTTCAGGTTTTCAATAGTGGTCTAGCTTCAATTGACTCATGATTTCAACTATTGAAATTTTTAAAATCTTCACAAAACCCATTCTGACATTAATTAATAGTCGAATAGAAAGAATACATTAGTGAAGTTCTAACATCTAGTTGACTGACATAGACTAACTAGCGCAATATTTCCCTGCTACTGCTGATATAATTTTCTGATAACTCACAACAACAAAAACTGACAAAATACAAACCTAGGAATTCAAACATATTCAAGAAATTTCAATCAGCATCTAAAGATCAGTTTATTGATTTATTCTTTTACAATGATCATGGATGCGCAATACTAAGGAGTCTCATACTGGAACGAAACGGCCGTTCAATGATTCCAGGTTTTCCATGTTGGTCTAGCTTTAATCTACTGATGAATTGAAGTATTAAGTTTCTACAAATTCCACGAACCCTTATTATGATAATGGTTAATTTGTATATAATTCTGAAGTATATTTAATCATTTCTTAGTTATCAATTCAATAATTTAATTTACCATGAAAAACCTGAAAGCACTGGACAGCCGTTTCGTCTAGTGGTTAAGTGCTTGCGCACGAAACCAATAGGTCCTTGGTTCGAACCTCGCAGTTGACTACAACAGTTTAACTTTCTTTAATAAAAACAGAATTTATGTCTTCACAATTGATTGATCACTGGGTGGTGATCATTGTCATGCTTGTCTAGTCTTTATTAGTGCAGATCGAATGCTATCGATCATGTTGCAATGTAGTCACCAGTCTAGATGACTCGACACTGCATGCACTATTGTGGAATGAGATGGTGGTTGGAGGTAGTCAACAGGAAACCCTGGACCCGGGTTTCGTGCTATTTGGCAGTCGCCAGCAAGGTGTACCTGTAATCTCGAGGGAACTGGTGCTCCCTGGCGGATTCGATCTCGTGTCACCCAGCTTCACAGTCAGAGACGTTACCACTGAGCTATCTGAGCCGTGACTGACCTCCTGTAGGACTGAGATGTAACCACCATCTAAATCTCAATACATAGTGCCCGCAGTGTCGAGTCACCTAGACTGGTGGCCACATTGCAACATGATCGATAGCATTCGATCTGCACTAATAAGGACTAGACAAGCATGACATTGATCACCACCCAGTGATCAATCAATTGTGATTATATCTCAGTCCTACAGGAGGTCGGTCGCGGCTCGGATAGCTCAGTGGTAACGTCTCTGACTGTGAAACTGAGTGACACGAGATCGAATCGGCCAGGGAGCACCAGTTCCCTCATGATTACAGGTACACCTTGCTGACGAGTGCCAAATAGCACGAAACCCGGGTCCAGGGTTTCCTGTTGACTACCTCCAACCACCATCTAAAATGTATGTCTATTCAGACGATACTACTATAAATACTACTTAAAAATAGAAGATATATATATAATAGAAGAGTAGTTCAAATATTAAATCAATTAAGAATGCTAATATAAATTACTTTGATAAATAATCTTTCATCACCAAAACTAATATAGAAACAATTTTAATATGATGATGCTTTACATTGTCATTTATATTCATTATATTTTGATAAAATTTTAATAAATAATTCATTGCATATAAACAACCTAAAAACAAAACAAAAAGAAAAAAAAGAAAAGAAAGAAAGAAAAAGAGAAACATTATAAAGAACAATGATAATAATAATGTCATAATGTTGACATACCAACTGAATCTTTAATAGAAGACATGGAAACACAAGAGTTTAAAAAGTTTCTACATTCTACCAGAATATGTTGATTTTGATTGGGTGAAAACAATTGAATTGCTTGTTCAAGTTTTATTCTTTGAGATTTACCTAATAAATAAAAAATATTTGAAAAGAAAAACAAAAGTGTTATATCCCGATAAGAATAATTTTTGGGATTTATTTATGGATCAATACTATGAGTATATGTTTTGTCGTATAATTGTTATGTAACTAATCTGTTCATAATCATGTCCCTCCTATTATGAGCTTTATGTTGATCTATGAACCATTATTATACGATTTACCATTCTTGAGTTATGGCCTGTCTATTAATCACTATCTCCTTCATTCACAGTCACTTTTGGCCAATTTATTGTACAAATGTTATTTTCTGTTTTATGGTACGTTGTGGTCTGTTTGATTTGTATATAAACTCCGTATGTTTGAGATATAAGGATTCATATTGCAGAGGCTGAGATTGGTGTTCTGGACCCAATTGGCTGGGCTAGTCAGGAAGCGAGACCAATCAGAACTGTAGGCTGCTCGCAGGTGTTTTATACATCACTGATTCGATCGATAAATTCGCTGCTCTCTGATTAGCGGTATCGTTGCGTTATACAGCAACAGGGCACACAGATTCATAAGTTATAACGAAAAGTATACCATAAGTAAAAATTATAGTAGTAACTAAACGAAAAAAATGGATTCATTATAATCAGAAAATAATGATGGATAGTAGTGGAATCTAGGACGCGAGTTTCGTCTTATTTAAGACTCATCGGCTAGATGTACTAGTATCTCACAATTAATGTTCACTTCAGGACTTGAAACTAGGACTGTTAGCCATAAACTCCATCGGATTAATCGTCAAACAATTGGCACTTGATCATTGGGAATTTAGATTTAAGATGTATCAAGTGAAATTAAACTATGATTGGTCACTGAGCGAAAACAGAAATATCCGGTTACATTAAATGTAATAGATTATTTTGTGATAAAATTCATTCCAGCTTTTTGCCACTTGTATATCACTTAGTGTACTAATAAACTCTCATTCTGATCTAATCTGATTCTTGATCATCAGTAGAATAGTTGAGTCAAGTGACCAAGTAGCATGTTCTAGTGTATTGTCTAGCGATACATTAATCTAGTATCCTGTAACCAACTCTTGTTTGTCCTTTATAACAAATCGGTCATTCAACAAGTTATTCAGCAAGTCGTACTAAGATTAAAATTACAATTCATAGAATAATTATACTTACATCTGGATAACAATATAATACTCCATAGTTTTCTTCGAATATGAGAGCTATGAAATGTTTGATTAAAATAACGAGAAGAAAGTTTATTAAGAAATTCTGTATGTTTTTCAAACAATGCAATTAGCGCTTCATTCGCTTCCATTGTAATAAAATCAAATTTATTTGGATATACACTTGGGGTTAGTTTAAAATATCGATCTGAATGTTCCTGATCCCATTGTTTCCACAAGAAAGCTTCTCCATGAGTTTCCATATTTGGCATTGTTGTAGGCTGCTTTAATGTCATGTAATGCTCAACTGAATTATATAAATTCTTAGTAAGTATTTGATGTAGTTTGACTAGCATAGCATGATATTTGCTACCTAAAATAATAAAACGAAATTTGAAATATGTATTGTAAAATAAATCACACCAATGTTTGCATGAGTATAAACTGTGGATACTTATTGCATAACCATATGACTAACGAGGAAATACAGTGGTAATATCTGTATGACCACATAATCGTTTTATCGAGTTTAAATCACCATTCATGTAACTATTACCAAAATTCATAGAGAACTGGAAGTATGAGTTATTGTAACAACTTATTTGAAAAATGGTCAACAAGAAAAAACATGTATGACAATATAATAACGCGCTCGCGTACGAGACCGATAGGTCCTGGGTTTGAATCTCGAAAGCGGGATCAAGGATACACAGTGTTGAGAAGTCTTATACTAGGATGAAACGGACGTCCAATGCTTCTAGGCTTTCCATGGTGGTCTAACTCTAATCGACTCAGGAATTCAACTATTAAATTGATGTAATATCCACAAAACCCTATTTTTATGACGAAATATCTCATACTATTAGTGCAGGATGATTTAGAAACAACCGATAGTAGTCAATAAAATAGATCAATCTCCTTGAAGGTAGCATGCAATAGAAAGGAAATTCATTACAAAATGTATGACTACTAACAGACATTGATTACAAAATTATCGTTTACCTGAGTAAAATTTCAATCAACTGAGTTGACGTAAGGTAAACATTGTATCGTAATAATTACACAGATGACTAATAGTTGTTAATAGGCTAGAACCTTTGTATAATATATTTATGTCAAAGATAATGCTAAAATCAGCATAAGTGAAGGCATTTTATCAAACAAATTATGAATGTAACGCAATCAATTATTCTATTTACAAAGATTATCTCACATTTTCCAATTGTGCAATCTAAATAATTATGCAACTTGGGTTATTCAACAGTTATATCGTTAGACGTAGCGTAAATTATCGTTTATATGATTCTTAAAAAAACTAGCGGATGGTATAAAATCTAGATTTTTGTTTGAAATAACTGATGCTTTACAATAACGGTAAACTAAGCCTGATATATAAAAGGTTTTTCTCTTTATTCAATTAAAGGATAGAATACAGATGATTTAAATTTCTACCCACTTCCCTGTGCAAATAGGATCCGATGACATGAATTTCAAAGTGAAAATTAAAAATTTGTTGACTATTTACTTCTTACTTATATTATTTCGTGTTATACTAAATACCTTTCCAAGGAATGGAAGATTGAACTAGTTAAAAATATCAAGGATTTCCATTGGGTTAATTTATAAATTATAGACGATTGACAATAATATACACAAATTTAGGAATGTCACGCTTGAAAAGCGAGTGACAAATCACGCTTCAGTATGAGGTCTAGTTATATCTTTTTTACCAAAGAATATATCAACAAAGCATAAAAACGATACGGTGACAACAGAAAAACATTTTAGTTCACTTTAATTGTCACTTTATTGGTTACCAACTGTTCGTTACTAAATAAGGAAAGCACTCAGGAATCGAACAAAGTTACCATCAGTCTTTAGTAAATTCCGTAAAAAGTAAGGTAAGTCGGAATATGCTTATTTACTAGCTAGGTGATCTTCACATATCACAAAACGTAAGTAACACTGTGGTATTGAGCGGCGTAGACAGAAAGCTTTATCACATTCTGCTCTATAGAGTTCAAGCCATAATTACGGCACTCTTTGATTCTCACCGTTTGCTTAGATGACGTATCTGTTCAAGTAAATGAATTCCTAAAATAAATATTTTCTTAATTATACCACACCGATGTTGACCTTACTTATTTTACTGGAAGAACCTCCAGCTAAAGGTGCTTGGCCAAGTATCCACACTAAATCACTCTTGAGTGCGGAGACTTGCGCATTTCATATAACAACTGGGCAGCTTAGATTACATACTTCTTGATGAATGGTTCATTTTCCAACTATACCTAAGGACCTTTTTATTCCTGACTTTAGGGTTAACTGGCACTGATATTCTCAATTAAAAAAGCGATATGGACGATATAGTTCACATTAACTGTATATCCTTGACACTTTTTCACTTTGGTTACAGTTACAACAGAAATAATTTTTAATAATTGTGGTAGTGTCTTTGAAACGCAACAACAGTGTGTCTTTCATTTATGCTGGAGTATTTGACTGGTGTTGCTCAATATGAAAAAAATCGAACGATATACGTTTCCAGATAGCAGCAACTTACAGAATATTAACTAAGACAAAAAATCTCTAAATGTACTTGGAAATAGAATGTAATAGTTTTTTTGAAGTTTAAATATCTTTATGGTAAAATATACACTACAAATTATAAATTACTATGATAAATTAGTAAGTCTACCTGTAGGAACAAGTTTCATTTCTCAATCTGTTAAGTACTTATTTCTGCTTTTAACTTATATTTTTCGTACAAAATGAATGTTTCTAAACAAAATTAAAGTTGGATAAAAAATTGAAATGTCACAACAATATTTCGAAGGATCTGAGAAGAGTGGGCCACCGGCAAGTTCAACCATTAAGGATTATGACAAAACGTTTTTTGAAAACACAAGTCGGAGTTGAGTGCAAAAAATAATTTTTACCACTGGCAAAAGCAGAAATTTGTATAAATACGTCGATAGTACCCCAAGTCGATGGTAAGTTAGTGACTAAGCCAAATAGAGGAAAAAATTTGTGTGAAGTTTTAAGGAAATCAAAAATGAGGATAACTCATTCATAAAGCACTTATTCTGTGAACGTAAACCCAATATCCAGATTTTGGAGAGATTCGAATAAATTTTAGTGAAATTACCGATATTTCGGCATTATTTCAGTATGTCAAATTGGCGCGAGACAAGAAAGTGTCTGTTCCACGCCACCTTCTCAAAAACTTCACACAATGCAAGTGAGTTGTTGTTACTGTTGCAAACATTGATTACTCCCCTGACTCAGCCTAACAGAGTGACAAACTTTATGGTCTGTCATCGGAATACACTTTACAGAAGGTTAAAAAAGTTAAGAGATGAGTTTGTAAAAAAGTACAACTTCACGGTCACCAACAGACAAACCTGCAGTTCAATACATCTTAACGATATGGGCAACTTTGTAGTTACACAACAGTTTCGTAATCGCATTGAATCCTGTGATTGCCCGTGTAGTTACAATCACTATGCACCTATTGTAGTCATCAGTGTTGTCCAGGTTTTTTAGTGAACCTTATTTAGATAGTACGAGTTCAGTCTTTATTTATTATTGGATGTTCTGTTTTCACAGTTCTAAAGTGCGACCTGTTCAGAAAATCAAATAGCACGAGCGATGGATGTTGCGAGCCAGGCTTTCTTGAAAGATACGAGAGATAAAGTAAATAGACGTGGATGGTGATCCAAAGAAAGGGTGAGCTTAAAGCCCTTTAGGTTTGTTACTGAATATCTCTTTATGTCATTGTTAGTTGTTTATAGACGTTTGTATTAAAATTGCTTTATATTTGCTAAATTAAGTGAAGAAAGGGAATTATGGAAACATGCATAGCAAATTCTAGGTACCTCTGATTAGGTCGGTATGCTTTCCGGGAAAACGAGAAATTGTGAGGTTTCCTTGAAGAATATTAATGAATTTTTCCAAAGTTTTGAAAATGTTATGAAAATCTCAAACTCATGGAGATCGTTTACAAAATCTTAAGCATCTATGGGGTCTTGTCAAAGAAAAAAATTGTATTTCCTCACATATTTAGGAACTTTGGGGGCAACTTTGATAAAATATTGTAGAAAACATTAAATTCCCACAAACTCTTTGACAAATTCTTCATAGTAAATTTAAATTGTGTAAAAAGTCCTCAAACTTGGAGAAATTTCTGAGATTTGTCGCATGTCTGCGAGATATCTAAAGAACTCATAAAATTGTCAACAAAACGAGGAGATCGAAAACTTAAGTATACGTACGTATATTTAGGCGAAAAGTAGACAATGCAGTAACACTTGAAGTACAGAGCGATATAAAGAGGAAAATCTGCATTATTTCTCTTAAACAGACAAAAAAGCAGACATTTGGGCGTGTTTTTTTATTATTTTGTCTTCAGTTTTCAACGCACTTTCCCCTTAATTTCCCCTTTATTGGTTGTTTAGCGTCATAGCAATCATGTAATTTATAAGGTTTTGAACCAAAAGAAATTTTTGAAAGCATTAAGGTCAAATTTTTTATTTGAAAATGGTTGAAAGGCACCAAAATATACCTGGAGTTACTGATTCTGAAAAATTGGCTATCAGCAAGCTTATTTCATCTTCAGTCATCCCAAAAATATTAGCCTTCGGTTTATTAGAATAGATGTGCTTTTCGATGTCAGTAATAAGATCTGACCATTCCTGAAGTTTAGTTTGTCATCTTGACCTACTAAAGTATGGATAGCCTCAGTGAGACTTTTTTCATACCACTTCATGTCCAGCGGTAATATTTAGCTATGGTGACTCAAGGTTATATCAGTTTCAGTTTCAGTTTGGGAAGGACAGGAGGCTCGATGGCCTATGTTAGTCCTGGCAATGGTGGTCTCTCAGTTGATCCAACTTTCTTTTGAAAGAGTCGACGGATGGAGCCTCAACCACGTGCTGAGGTAGTGAATTCCACTCGTTGATTATTCGATGGGAAAGTCGATAGTCAGCTGACAAGTAATTTGTTCTCGGCTTGTGAACTTTTTTGGAGTGTCCTCGTAAATTCTCTGTTTTGGAAGACAAGAAAAATGAGGGCATGTTAGGTGCAAATTTATCATTAAGCAATTTGTAGACTGTAATCAAGTCGCCTCTAGTTCTGCGATAAGATAACGGGAAAAGGTTCAGCTTGGCCAGTCGAGATTCATACTGAAGCTTTGCTATTCCGGGAACCAGCTTAGTCGCCGTTCTCTGAACCTTTTCCAGAAGCTCACTACCTTTTTTTAAGCAGGGGCTAGCCGCTTGTATGCAGTACTCAAGTTTAGGACGAACGAACACTGTATACAAAGTCAAAAACGTCTTAGCGTCGACATGACTAAAAGCCCTACGTATTGACCATAACGATCTAAAACTTTTGGCGACTATTGCACGGCAGTGTGCAGTAGTCTTTAAGTCTTGACTAACGATAACGCCTAAGTCATTATATGTCTGGACGACAGGTAGCTCAGTGTTATCCATCGTGTATGTATCTGTGCCTTGATGACCGATATGCATCACAACACACTTGGAAGTATTTATCGGCAACTGCCATGTTTGAGACCATTCAGATAACTTCTTCAGGTCATTTTCATTACTGGTCATAAGTATTCAATGGCAAAAACGGACATCTGAAAACAAATATATATATCTGAAATGATATGCTCTGATATTAAAGTTATCATAGCAATTCGAAATCAATTTAGCTCGGCAAAATTAACAAAATGTTCGTTCCCTTGATTCTGTATCTGGGCAGTTGGATGTTCGGATGGTTCGAACTGTTGTGGACGGGATAGAAGAAGCTTTCGCTTAACAGGCTTCCGTGTCTAGTAGCTGGAGATCACAAATGCCTAGGTATATCATGTATGATAAATTTTAAATAGAGGAAATTGGTAACTCATAATAAGATGTTAACCTTAATCCTTAAGAATAGGTCAAGTTTCCTCTTAAAGGACTCCTGGGAAGTTGCTTGGACTAGTTCAGTCGGCAGCGAATTCCAGCATTTGACAACTCTTAAGGAGTATAAATTGTGTCTACAGTCCGTTCTCCTATGTTGTATCTCCAATTTCTGAGTGTTACCCCTTAGTTTTTTATTGGGACTAAGATTAAATAAGTGTTTAAGGGGATGGCCAGAAGTGTAAAAAACACTGTTAGCCATCCAAAAGTCACCTCTAAAACGCCTATACTCTAATAGGTAAAGGTTAAGTGAATGGAGGCGCTCTTCATAAGGTTTGAATTTAAGTTTCGAACTGATTTCGTGACTCGCCTTTGGATACACTACAGAGTATTCTTATCCTTTTGAAGTGAGGGGGAAATACTATGTTTCCATACTCTGAATGAGGATGAATAAAACTATTGAAGATTATGTGGAAAGTCCTTTCGTCAAAGTGGCCAAAAATGCGCTTCAATGTTATCAGTGCAAGGTTTGCTCGAAAGGCATTTTTGTCACAGTTAGCGTACGACTTCAAATCGTAGGGCACCAGGACTCAAATCTTTTTTGACTGGGTATACTAATAGAGAAGAGTTTCTTAAGTTGTAACTGTATTCTACGACATGTCGCAGATGGACTACTTTACACTTAAAAGTGTTAAAGGTAAGTCCATTATCGTCCGCCAAATTTGAAGTCGAGTAAGACCCTCGTGAAATGCCTGTATATCGTCTTGCTTGCATACCTTTCTCCAAATTTTCACGTCGTCAGCAAAAAGTAATAAGTCTGACGACACCTGTAGTGGAAGATCATTCATATAAATCAAGAAGAGAAGAGGTCCTAGTACTGAGCCCTGGAACACCACTGGGACATTCCATAGCCTGCGATAATGTGAAGTTAACCCTGACCTTTAAATGTCGATGTTTCAGATATAAAATGAACTAATAGATTGGAGATGGTTTGACACCCAATCGTTTGAGCTTATTGATAAAACATGTATGGGTGACCCTACCAAAAGCTTTTGAGAAATCAAGGTAGTTTATATCAACCTTTACCTTGCAATCAAGGATGCTTATCCATCTGTCACCTCAGTCAGCAGGTTGGTTATTTAAGAGTAACCCTTCCTGAAACCATACTTTTGGGGTGAGAAGTTCAGGGACAGTAGATAGTCATGTATACCACTGCATATCAGAGACTCCATGACTTTTGAAGGTATTGAGAGAAAAGCCACCGCTCGGTATCTTGAAGGTTCGCTGCGCCGACTTCCTTTGAAAATTCCTATGGTGTGAGCCAGCTTCCAATGTTACGGTAGTTTGCCTCAGCTTAGTAAGTGTGAGAACATCACGCTAAGCGGTGTTGCCAAGATTGAGGCTGCTTCCCTCAATATAGCAGAATGAACAGAATCTGAGCCAGGAGAAGTGTTTTTTCTTAAGTGCTGCAGTTTTCGGAACATCAATTTAGTGCTCAGGTTCATTACGGAAAGTCTTGTGCAGTTACAGATGAAGCTGTCGTCAGTATAGTTGATGTGGGTCGATTGAAATGTCCAAGAGTGTTGTTCAGCCAAAAGGTTAGCGGCGTCGCCGTCGTTATTGGTCAGGTCCTTAGGAACTTGCAGTTGGAAAACTTCAGTTTCGGCATGACGAAGAGAGGCTGCATAACAGAATAAGCTTTTCCGATTTGAGACAAATTTATCCATAAGCTTTATCTGGCACTGAAGCCTGTCTTCTCTTATAGCCTTCGTGCATATATTACTTATGTGTTTGTATTGCCTGTACGCACCGTTGTTGCCAGTTAGTTTGTATTCTGTCCGATAGTGCTTTATGCGCCTTAGCAGGAGAAGTGTGCGGTTCTTGTTGATTGTGGGTTTCTTGTAGCTGTTGGGGACGGTTTGAGGAACTAAATGCTTTGTAGCACATAAGAGCGTGTGCAGTAAGAAGTCCCAGTGAGCATCCACATCAAGTTGCAGGTGAACATCTCAATCCACCTGTTGCAGATAATCCTGTAGAACTGAAACATTGAACCGTCTGAAATTCCAGCGCCTGTTGTTGGTGAAATAACTTAGCTCCGTTTTGCTGACAAAACTGGAGGCTATAATGGCGTGATCGTATTTCCCCAGTGGAGCCAGGATTGAGAGGCTGTCGACTAGAAATTATTCTTCTGTAAATACACAGTCTAAGCGTGACGGTATCTGACTATTTCTCCGAGTTGCCGACTTCACATGTTTGTATAATCCCAGATCCTCAATGAGGTTGGAGAACCGAGCTTCAGTTGAGTTTTAACCTCCAATATACGTATGTTCCGCGAAATTGACTCTTGGGAGATTGAAGTCCCCTAGAATCAGGAAATGAGTGGATTCGAGGCGCGTGGTGCGGAATAGTCCTTTTAGCATACGACTGTCATACTCGATGTCAGCGGTGAGCTTCCTACAGATGACCTCGACTAAGCACCTCGAAGTAGTAGAAAATCTTACCATACAGATTCATCAAGATTGTTAAACTCATGGTTATGAGCTTGGTGTACCTCTAAGCAGAATCGTATGTATATGGCTACTTCAGCTCCAATTCCTGTTTTTTTGTCGTTGCGAAACTAAGACATCCCAGGCATTGCTACGTTCTGGTTCGTAAACTGAGAGGATATCCAAGTCTTACATAAAATGTAGTTTTCAATTTTCCTTGTTTCTAGGTCAGATTTTATCGGATTGAAAAAATTAAGGTTTGTCAGATTTTCTTTGATTGAGAGAGGTTCAATATACACGAAGCTCAGGTCAGCTAGAAAGCAGAAGGAAAAATCTGTTCGACAGAGGAATGGCAGATTGAGTTAATGGATTGGAATTCTTTAGCTAGGAGACCTCGTAACCAGAGCTGTTAAGGAATGTTAACCTAGGATATTTCCCATGAAGTGTAAGTCCTCCACTATAAAGTTGTGTAGAAACATATGGATTACTTTACAATAACTTCATTGGACGACAGTGACGACTCGTTGTGGTTCATTTGATTCTGTGCATACATGTAATACGTACTTCTTCATAGCATGACTGGTCATCCTTAGCGCTTATTGTTTCAGGGAATACTATCATAAACAATGAGTTTGAACATATAAGACTCTATCTATCAGGAGAACAAATATGTCGGTACAAATAAAACGATTTCTTCTACAGAGTTGATGTAGTTCTGAACTTCCGGAGAAAGTCACTTCGCTTCCAGGTGGTAAAAATAGCTTGAAAACTATCATACACTCCTCAACGTTACTTGGTCAAACACATTTTAGCATTATTTCTAGGCCTACTGAACACCCAGTCATTGATAACTTACGGGTATCTCTTGTGTAATACATGTATGTATCTTTTCATATATCTTTAACTTGTTTTTGTGGGCTCTATTGGATCAAATAGCCATCAATTACATATTTGGATCTTGGTACTGAGCAACAGTAAAACACAATTAGAACGCCTTTGCGCCTCCACTCAGATACCAAAATTATGTTAAGGCAGGTGAATTTATCTTTATACTACGGGTCAGAGATATATCTTGGTATTTTGGATTTTAGAAACAATACGGATTCTGTCATGAGTTTCATATATGCATCAGGGGCACATTCCTAAAATCTCATATTCAAAACTGGTCTCTTTTAGATTGGGTATACTGTGGTTCTTCACTGACTGGGTTTTTAACGATGTTGATAAACT